GAACCGTTCTACGAAAGCGTGTTTGGACGCATCTGAAATGAAACATCCCAGTCAGACAAAAATTTTGAAAAACGTGTTTAAATCCACAATCGGGAACCGCGATTATCAGCCATTAACACTCATTAAAGAAACGCACGAAAACGCGTTTATTGTCGTTTTTTTTGTAACTTTATGGGCGTTAAAACGACGAAAACTCCAATTTTCGAGCGTTAAAACGTATCGTTTTTAAGTTCTAGAATAACAGTGCGCTTTAACGCTCAAAAACTGGAATTTTCGCCGTTTTAACGCCCATAAAATTACAAAAAACGTCAAAAACACGTTTTCGTGCGTTTTTTTAATGAGCGTTAATGGATCACAGTCGCGGTTCCGGATTGTGCGTTTAAACGCGTTTTTCAAAATTTTTGTCTGACTGGGATCTGATGCGTCTGAACGCATCTGTCAAATGCATTTGAACGCGTTTCAGAAACGCGTCTACACATTCCATGAAACATCTGACGTGTTCAAACACGTTGAAAATCGGAACGCACCCAAACGCGTCTGGATGTATAGTGAAACGTTTGATGCGTTGGGACGCACCTGGTAGATTAGATGCATGTGAACGCGTCTGGACGCGTTTCAAAAAATTTCAGAAAAAAAACATCTTGTTCTCTCAGATTCGAACTGCGGCACCATCAGAACTACTTGACGGTCAGCTCTATCCTAGAGGCATAGTACAGAACAAGTTTCTTTAATTTGTGACATGTAGATGACAAGTTCGATGATGTAGATTTGAACACAAGAACTTTTTATTAAAGAAAAAGCTACTTACGTATGAGCTATATCTGCTCGTAGGAGTGTATTCTCGATGAAGATATCTTTGTAATTGTTTCTACTGTAGTTACACTTATTTTCGAGGCAGAATATAATCAATTATATAAATATGCGATTATTTTTGTATGCTGACTTTTTGTAAAATAAAGAAGCAAATCATTTCTCTCAAATTATGTGAAATTGAAATTATATTTTTTTAACCTAGTGTACGTAGTTATGTATTTTTTTGAAACATTTTATCATAAAAAAAATGAAATCAATTATTATTAACAAGTTTGACTTTTGCTTCATTAATTAAACTTTCATAGAAGCTGTAAATTTCGTTCTCGTATTAATCATTGAAATAAAATCTGAAACAACATTTTAACAAGTCGAATCTAGACAATTATTTAGCTCGCTTGTATTTCTATATTTAAAAAAAGACGAATAAATAAAAGAAAAAGTTTATCAGCAATCTCAGACCTAATTCATCCAAGTGGCTTTACAAAATCAAAAAGGTAAAAAACAAGTCTCGTTATATCTCATGTAAGACAAGAAAAATAATCATAAACTATTACAATGTAAAGTATAACGTTCATATTTCGAACTATAATAATACGAGACTTAGTACATTCCCCTTAATGATATAAAAGAAAATACAGCTCAACATTCTAATAAACCTCTTTATTATCAGTATGAATTAACATAATCTAAATAACATCTAACGACATAAGATCGAGTCCATTTACAATAATACTGATCGATTTGTATTATGAGTTTCGATAAAAAGTCTATAAAAAAATAATAAATCACGTTTCTTTCCCTACTCAATATAATAATATTCATTGTCTTTTATAATGCATAGTATTCATTGAGGTTTATATAGTTTTATTAAAATAGTTTAATATGTATATATTTTATCTAGTTTGCGTATGCTTATAGAAGAAAAAAGAGACTTTTAATTTCTAAGTGGACCAAAAAAACTTTATCATTGGACTAGTGTAGTTGACTTACATCACAAATCTAATCAAGAAAAAAAAGACAAATGAAACTGTAACTAAAAACAATTAAGACGACAATGCCACGAAGCTAAAATAATATCAAATACAATCTAATATTGTCAACTACAACAAGATGAATAATAACAAAATATGAAAATATTGTGTACGATCAATATATATTAGAAAAGTTAAGTATTGATCAAAGTCGACATAAGATTAAGTTGGATCACAATAATAATCGTGAATCTATATTGTAATATTATAAGATAAATAAAACCACATTTAATTAAAAAAATCATGCTTTTTTCTACTCAAATATAATTATAATCAGCATCACATATCATAGATCGCATTCTTTTAGTTTCATCTATAACCTCAAACAAGAAAAAGGGATGTGAAAAATTCATGCAATACATATATCTTTCATGCAATGAAAAGCAAAACGCTAGAGCAAAAACTTGAACGGCTATATATTTATTGATTTGATAACTTTAATATCATAACATAGTTTGGTGATTATTGCTTTGATTTAACTTGATCTTATATGAACTTTGATCAATATTTAAATTACACTAATACATATTGAATGCATATATATATATATATATATAATGTTTTCATATTCATTCATAACTCATATAGTTATATGTTGACAATATTAGGTTGTAATTCATTCACAATATTTCTAAATAGAGATTAGACGTATATTTTTTTCTTTCCTTTTCCACTGTAATTTGTACTTTTTTTTTTGGAGTCAAAGTCTTTTTATTAAGATGTTAAGAAGAAACAAGCAAAAATATAATACAGATTTGCAGAAGGCTGGAGAGAAACGGCGAGACGCTTGACGAATGTCTTATGTCTCGTGAAAAGAGGTAATACGTTGGAAGTTGTTATAATGGTGTATATGTTGCAAAGTTTAAGTCGACGAATCCGATATAACAATTTTTGTATGTATTCGGCCGACTCAACAATGGTCTATAATGACGATGCTATATGTAATATATAAGATGGGTAGGTGATTTGTTTTTAAACTTTGTTAAATATTTCTTGTAGATTGTTTTGTAATAGGACGTCGTTGTTGGATGTTGCTGTTTGAATATAACGTTGCAGAATTGTAACGGCATATTCTTTAATTTTGGGGATGTTGGTGATTCGATGTATATAGTCGACGGATGTATATATGGGTGGTCCTAAAGCAGCACGAATGGCTTTGTTTTGCATAATTTGTAATCTTTCCCATATTTTATCATTTGCTGTAAGGAGAATTGGATAACCGTATATTATGATAGTTCTTGCTATTGATTTGAAGATGTTCAACATTATTTTGTCATTGGGTTCGTATGCGGTTCTGCTTAAAAATCTAAGCAAACTTATACGACCTGCGATCTTCGATTCAATATGATGAATATGACTTCTCCAATTTAATCTTTTGTCGATGATAATTCCTAGATATCTTGTTGAATCTGATGGTTTAATGATTGTGTCTTCTATTTTAACGTTGATTGGATTTTTAAATGTTCTTCTTGGATGGACAGTAAAGTGGACTAATTCAGTTTTTGTTGGTTGTAATTTTAATTTCCATGATTTGCACCAGCTTTGGAATGCATCTATGGATTGTTGTAATCTGCTATTAAGGCTTGTTGTTGTATTTGACGATGTCCATAGTGCAGTATCGTCAGCAAATAAACCATGTTCTGTGTGATCTGGTATTCCATTCATTGAATCTGCCGTGTATACAATATAAAGTAATGGTGATAATGGAGATCCTTGTGGAGTACCGCTATTTAACGTGAATGTTTTAGATAAGTTGTGTTCAATTTCGATTGAAGCAAATCGATTTTGTAGAAATGACATGAGGTAATTCATTACATATTGTGGAAGACGTAATTCATTTAATTTGTAGATTAACCCATCATGCCATACTGAATCAAAAGCAGCTTTGATGTCAAATAATATGACAGCTGCATGGCGTCGACGATCAGTTCCGTATACGTGATGTTTTGCATATTTAGTTAGCCTTATGATGTTATTTAAGGTGCTTTTTTTAGGTCGGAAACCTGCTTGATGTTCTGGCAAGATGTTTCGTTTATCCAGTATAAC